TTTTTTTTTTTTTTTTTTTTTTTGGTAAAAAATTCGAAAATTTTAATAAGGAAAAAAATCTCAAAGATGTGTTTGAGGATAAGTTGCAAGTTGGCATGCTTTCAATTTTTAAAGTGGCTTCGTAGTATATACATATATACTAGTATTCGTCTTGTGCACGTAAATAGAGAAATGTAAATATACGTATTATATGTATATGTACAATATTTATAATTTCAAGTTAAATAATGGATGTATTTTATTTTTTAAAAAAAAAATTATTATATACAAATATACAATATAGATATAAATTATTTAACTTGAGTCAAGTCTTTATATTTATGACATAAATTTGGACAATATAATTTTTTAATTTAGAGGGATCGTACAATTAATTAGTTAGAAAATCACCACAATTATATTTATTATTGTTATAATAGTTATTTATGTAATTTTAAGGAGTTTAATTATGGCACTCATGTCAATTAACTAATATTATAGAAAAATCGTTTGATAAAACAAAAAAATAATATTTATTATAGAACAAGTATCTTAAAGAACAAAAAAAATACAATAAAATTTTTTACAAGTATGTAACATTCACATACTATTTAATGTAAATTTCTAATTAGTCAGTACTAGTAGTAATATTACATAATAAATTAGTTCATACTTACACTTTATTAATGTATGATGTAAATGTCCCACATTAATTGGAAAATAAAAAAAAAAAAGAGCGGAAAATTTATAAAGGTTTTACTTATTGCTCTGTCAGCAATTACATATATATATATATATATATATATATATATATATATATTAGTATTTATATATATTGATTTTTTATTTAAATGAGCCCCGGTGAGTTGCATCCTTTTTTTTTAAATTCTATGGACTATTATATTAAATTGTTGGGTCACTATTTTTAATTTTTTCATATAAATTAATGATTTTAATAGGGTGAATATTGTTGATTTTTGTTTTATTTGCTATAAATGGATTTTCTTTGCAGTGTTATCACAAGATTTTATTTATTTTTATCTAAATATCGAAGCAAACTTATTGTGTATGTATGTGATTAGTTTCAATATTGTCTTACTGTTGATTCGAATGTGATTAGAAGATGCAGTTTCTCACACCATATCCAAGACAGTTGAATGTTTAAGTCCTCAATAGCAATGCCAATAGGAAAGACATATATGCCATCAACGAGATTAAGTAAATTATGTTAGCCAAAACATGGGGATTTTTAGGACTACAACCTTTGGCAAGTTCTTGGATCTTCCGTATTCTAAGACCCAGAGTAAATTGGTAAACCAAATTTTGTTACGTGAGGTGTACCAAGGTAAGACAAACGAAGTGTGGTTTGAGTTTTCAAGGAAGGTGCTTATATTTGGCATTGAGAATTTTGAATTGATTTATGGCATGAGAAGCACCGACTTAAGCAAGAAACTTGACTTTTTCGAAGGTATAGTGAGGTCTTTACGATAAATACTTCTTTGGGTAATGTTTGACTAGAAATTAGATTAGGTAGCAATTTATAGATAAGGCATATAGAAATGACGATGATGCTGTGAAATTTGCAAAGTTATATTTGATTGCACATTTTTAAATGGACCCGAAGGATACTATTTTGCTTAATAGTCGTTATATGGACATCATTGGTAGTGCTGAGTGTGATGACTATGTTTGGGGTAAGGATGTTTTTTACTTCACAACCAAGATGAACATTGACTCGTTGCTCAAAAGACGTCGTAATTTGGTTTATGGGGACGTGATTCTGAAACACCACGTGCTCTCTGGATGATCTTCAGTCGATATAAGAGTTTTGACAAAATCAGTAGAATTGTTTTTCCTCATCGGAGAAGAAGGTTTGCCTTCCATGACTCGCAATGTTGGCAGTTGCAATTTAAGGAAAAAATTGTTTCCACTCTTTTGTGTAAGTTTCTACAGTTTTTATTTTTTGTTCTATTTTTAAATCTTCGAAAAGATGGGACATGTTTGAAAGAATAGTAGTGAGGACTCTGTACGGTACCACTGTGGTAAGAAGCAAGTGGGTTGTTTGGGTTTTGATGATGAGTTTGTAAAGCCACATCTACCGAAAATTCGGACTCGAAAGTCTAACCCAAAAACAACCGACACGAGCTATGTGACTATGTGACTCAACCGATAATAATCAATTTTGTTCATTTCTTCTTTTTTGCTTCCAGTCATGCCCTTATAACATCTCCAATGGCCTTTTTATTGTTCTATATTTGGTGCCACATAGCACAAATTATCCTATGCAACATGGAAAATGTTTAGAAGTCTTTTTAGATGTAGAAGTCATTCTAAAAAAACTTCTATTATATATATTAGTCATTCAATTTATCTTTTTTTTTTCCAACCAATTACAGTTTTACATATCACAAATGAAACCACAATTAACATCAACCATTGGAGAAACAGTTTTTTTTTTATTTTCTTTTTCTATGTCATACAACACAAAATGAACAATGATTCGTTCGAAATGCTCTTAGAAAACACAATTTTAGAGACAACTAACATTGATTATAACAACAAGACATGTGTCACCAGGACTGTTCAATCGGTTAAAACCAAACCGAATCGACCGAAATTTCGGTTCGTCCAACTTAAAAACCGAAAACCGAACCGAATTCTACGGTTCAGTTTGGTTCAAAACTGAAAATCCATCGGTTGAATCGGTTCGGTTTTCGGTTATCCGATAAAATGGATAAATGAAAAAAATAATATCTACAATGTCATTTATAAAAATAACAGTAGCTAGCTATTTAATAATTTCACCAAAACAAAGTAAAGTGCATACAAGAATAACTTTCTTAAAATTTTCGGATCATGTTAATCTGCCCACCGCGTAGGTGGCATGCACTCATTGGTGATGTTAATATGTTTAAAAAACACATCACAAATGAGTGTATGTCACCTACGCGGTGGACATATTAACATGTGTCCACCGTGAGTACGTGAGCATTTCTCACCATTTTAAATGTATTTATGTCTCAATTTTTGTTTCTTCCTTTTTTTATCATATTCAACAATATTATAAGGCTTCAATTTTCTCATCGATGTGTTGTTTCGGAATTAGAATCAAATTTTAGTTCTTTCTTTTAATTTAAACAATTGAGAAATGTTGTTTTTGGTCCGTAAAATGATGCTCAAGAATTTCAATAATACGACTTTATGGGCTTCTGAGGAAAAATGGGCCTGGGAGTGGTGTGCTTGGGTGGGCAATTAAAAAGCATGGACTTGAATAACTAAGGGGGTGATTGTTTACAAAATATTTTACTCACTTTTATTTCAACTCAAAATCTAACTCAATTTTAACTCAACTCCACTATCTTTAATATTATTCATGTTATTAAATAATACAAACCAATCATTCTTACACATCACATCAACTTTAATTCACTATTCATCCACTCACATAATTTTAACTACCTATCATTTCCAATCCTTTCCTATCATTTATCTCTTACTTTTACATCAAATCAATTCTAATTATTTTATTTTAACTATTATTTTAATACATTCTTAAAATTCCACTACAACTAACCATACCACCTTTTTCAAAATTAACTATAGTTAACCAAAATAACTCAATTTGAACAAATTATTTCATAAACAATCAAGCCCTAATATACGGACGTTTGTCAAGTATATGAATAGTATCGGTTGTCGGTTCGGTTTGGATAACCAAACACTTTTATTTAAATTGAACCGAAAAACAAAATTTTAACAAAATATGAACCGGAAACAAAATTAAATAATCGGTTTTGATTTCGGTCCAATTTGAATTTCCAGTTTCGATCGATTTCGGTCAATTAATCAAATTATGTGCACCCCTATGTGTCACAATAAGCACAAAATAAAAAATGAGTAAACTTAAATTTGATATTATAAGTAATACAAAATAATAATAATAAGACAGTAACGACGAATTGTTACATTATATTTTATTTTCACCACAATTTGTTACTTTCTTTTCTTTTTTTTTACAAGAAAATAGGGTCAAGTCTAATTACGACGATACCAACACGTTTCTGGGGTACGACACCCCTATCACATCATGAGCAAACTAAGTCCTCACACCTGAAGAAGGGACATCCAAACGTTGAACTCTGTCAGGCGCTTGTGCCGCAAAGAAGGCCAAAAAACCGGCAACAAAAATAGGCCAAAAAAATCACTTTCCTTTTTATTTTCATTGAGTTTCACTGTACCCCGACTTAGAAATGTTCCTCTACCCACGGTGGGCACATATTAATATGCTCACCGCGTAGGTGACATCCATTCATTGATGATGTTAATATGTGTAAAAAAAATACATCACCAATAAGTGTATGTCACTTATACAATGGACATATTAATATGTGCCCACCGTGGGTAAGTGGGCATTTCTCTATCCGACCGGCCCCCACCAAAGTACAGAAACAATTAAAGGGGAGAGAGAGAAAAACACAAGAAAAAGCAAAACTTCACGATTTTACCGACCACTGACAGTGACGCCACGGGCGCGCCAGCCGGCGCTTGGGTAGTTGACCGTTAAATTCGACAGCGCGACTGTACTATGCCGCATTGCCGCTCTTTCTCGTCTGTCCCCACTTTTCAAATTGATTATTTCTTCCTAAATTTCCGAACACAAATCCACATATTAGGGTTCAAAGTTCACAGTTCAAAGTTCATACACAGTTGCCCGTAGCAAAAGAATTTCCCTTTCCCTCATATAACAGTCACCCACACACTGATTTTCTTTTTCCTCGTAGACTCCGAAAATCTTGCCGAAACATCATAAAATTTAAATCTTGACGGATTTTTATTGATTTTTCCCCAGAACCCTTTTATTTTTTATCTTGCTTCCTGCAAAAATCTTGGGGTCTTTTCCATCTGACCCTGAGAATCATGGCTCTGGTGGGAGATTTAGGGCTCAAGTTTGGCGGGGGGATGAGGAAAGACTCGGGCATCATCGGCCTAAACAAAAGTTTTTTCTCCGGCGCCCCGATTTCTAAAAAAGACAACCTTTTTCTCGGTCCGAGGAATTTGAGGCCTGTAGAGCCCAAATCTAGGTTCAAAATTCAGGCAGTGATGCAACTGGGTGTTGAGAGAAGAGAAATTTCAACAGATCCCAAGAGTTCGGAGGGGGTTTTGGGATTCGACGTGGTTTCGGAAGCGGAGCTGAGGAAAAAGGGATTCTCGGGGATGAGGAAGACGAAGCTCGTGTGTACGGTGGGGCCCGCTTGCTGCTCGTCGGCCGAGCTGGAAAAGCTGGCCCTTGGGGGCATGAACGTGGCCAGGCTTAACATGTGTCACAATACCAGAGAATGGCATAGGGATGTGATTGGGAAAATCAAGAAATTGAATGAGGAAAAGGGTTATTGTGTGTCTGTGATGATTGATACTGAGGGTAGCCAGATTCATGTGGTTGATCATGGTGCTCCTTCCTCTGTAAAAGCAGAGGTATCGTTTTTCGGTTTTTGCTGATTTTTGTTTTTGGTTATGACTGAAATATTTGTGATTTTTATGGTGTTGGAGTTTTGTTTGATTTGTCAGGATGGATCGATTTGGTTCTTTACAACTGAAAAGTTCGAGGGGTTGCGCCCTTTTACGGTTCAAGCAAATTATGAAGGTTTTTCCGAGGGTATGTTGGTATTTGATAACTAATAACTCAATAAGTTTGTTTTTTCTCCAATAGTAGATTCTTAGTTATTTTTCTTCAGTTTTTCAGGGATTAATGTGGGTGATGAGATTGTGTTTGATGGAGGAATGGCAACTTTTGAAGTCGTAGAAAAAATTGGGAACGATTTGCGTTGCAAGTGCACGGACCCTGGCTTACTCTTGCCACGAGCCAAACTGAGCTTCTGGAGAGATGGAAAGCTTGTAGAGAAAAAATATGAACTTCCAACTCTGTCCACTAAGGTTAAGCTCAATGACTAATTTTCCACGCATTATGTTTCAGTCTCCTAATTATAAGATGTGAATATTATGTGATGATTGCTCGATTAGGACCGTTCGATAGAACATGTACGCATATGATATGCTTGCTAATATCAATATGACACTGATATATTTCTGTTGTGTATCCTTGGATGACATGTATTCTATCTTATCAATAAACTACAAAATCATGCAGGATTGGGCCGACATTGATTTTGGAATCTCTGAAGGCGTTGATTTTATAGCCATGTCTTTTGTCAATGATGCCGATGCTGTTATGCATTTGAAGAGTTATATTTCCAACAAATCCTCCAAGTAACTTTTCTTTGATATTCTCATATTCTTTTTCGTTCTCCTTTTTTTAATATCTAACCGCTAGTATTGATATTGATATTATTTAGTCAAGAGTGTAAACTTTGTCTCAAATTCATTGTTTTTTCTACGGGCTTTTATTTTACTTTGGGTAATGTAATATGGAGAATGAAGGGTATGTTTTTTTATTCGGCAGATCAATAAAAGTCTTGGCAAAGATAGAGAGCCTCGAGTCACTTCATAAATTGGAGGAAATTGTCAAGGCATCTGATGGTATCATGATAGCGAGAGGTGACCTCGGAGTCGAAATCCCACTCGAACAAATTCCGAACGTGCAAGAAAAAATTACATTCACGTGCAGACAGCTTAACAAGCCTGTAGTTGTTGCTTCTCAGCTTCTCGAGTCAATGGTTGAATATCCTACTCCAACCAGAGCCGAGGTAGTACTAATATCAATAATGGTTTAATTAAATCTAATAAAATAAAATTCGCAAAAAAAAAAAAAAAAAAAAAAAAAAAAAAAAAAAAAAAAAAAAAAAAAAAAAAAAAAAAAAAAAAACTAATAAAATATAATATGAGATTTAGTGATATATATATAGGTTGCTGATGTTTCTGAAGCTGTACGCCAATATGCGGATGCATTGATGCTGTCCGGGGAATCAGCAATTGGCCCATTCGGGCAAAAGGCTCTCTCTGTGTTGAGCACTACCAGCAGCAGAATGGAACTATGGAGTCGTGAGGAGAACAGGCAAAATGTTCTGTCGAAGCATAAACTTGCATCATCCTTGCCCGACCAAATAGCCGAGCAAATATGCAATTCTGCTGCACAAATGGGTATGTAAATATGCAATACTTTTTCATTGTTCTAAAATGTAGACTCTTAAAAATATGCATAAATTAAATCAAAAACAAAATCAGAAGGAGGGCTCTCTAGATTTCAGATTCTGCTTCTTGTATAACTTGTCACACAAATAAATCACACGTTTTGCCAATTTACTCACCAAAAACATTTGCTAATGACATTTTTTTTATATATAATTTTTTCTTTATTTAGATTGTAATATGAGGGGCCAGTTTGTGTCTTTGACATTTGATCTTGACGAATTATTACATCTTGTGATTTTTTGTAGCAAACAACCTAGGACTCAATGCCATATTTGTGTACACGAGGCATGGCCAGATGGCGTCCTTGATCTCTCGCAATCGCCCGAACCCTCCCGTGTTTGCTTTCACGAGCGATGGCAGCACGCGCATGGCACTCAATCTGCTGTGGGGGGTCACACCGCTCCTTCTCCTGGACCTCTCGGATGACATGGAAGCTAACATAGAGAAATCCATAGACCTTGTTAAAACCCGAGGGCTGATCAAGAAGGGCGACATGGTCTTGATCGTCTCGGATATTATACCAACCTCAACGTCTCAGACCGTGTTTCAGTCAATTCAGGTTAAGACCGTCAAGTGATTTTTTCTTTTTTTGGACAATAAGTGAGATGTGTTATGGATGAGGCTTTGCAGTTTTAGATCCCTATAGTACTATTTTCTTTTGACGAGTTTATATATCAAATATTTATGTATCATTTTCTTGATTTTTGAAGAGTGTTGTTTGATGCCAAACTTTACTGAAATAATCTATTTTCTTGAGTTGTAATTTGTGAAGGAAAAAACAAGTATCAAAAGAGTTTTGAATATATTAGGATACCTTTTCAATTAAGCACACTTTTGAGGTAAAGTTGGTAATTTTCTAGTTAAAAAACGGGCCAATGTAATTCATCTCTTGGTGAGAACTAAAACCTAAGAAGGACATTTTTCTCTGTAAAATTTTTTCCCCTAAATCCACTAAAATCTAACTCGACCCAATCTCTCGCCGCCACCTCTCTTCCGCAATCGCTGGCCTGTCGCCGCACCGTTTTTCACTGGGGTGCCGGCAAGTCGACTTTCCCGACGATTAGTAACAGAGGAAGTCTTCTTCAACGACTACTGATATCGATCTCGACCACTCGTTACATATGTTCTGATCCCAGTACCTGAGACCGCGGCGGACAGAGATCAACTATAGTAACGCAGTGGGACCTTTCGAAATAGAAGAGTGAAGAGCACTCTTCGCAATGCCAACTGAAATCATGCAAAGGAAGTAAACAACTAGTCTGATGAAGGAGGAGAATTCCCTATAGAGTATTAGAAGGCTCTCATAATGGGGAGTTTCACGCCCGAGCTTTATATTCCCTGCTACCTATAGCGGCGATTCTCCATTCTCGGTGGCCATAGTGGGGACCCTGCGTCGGTCGGGTAAGCATACGGTCGCGGTCGCCGTCACCGTCTACTGCTTTGGGGCGGACGACGACTGAGTTCGTTGCTGGTTAAACTCATAGGCCATCCCGTCTCCTGGTGTTAGGGCGGGTGGTCCGACGGTGGGGGATTTCGGGTTGCCGAGTCGTGGGTCTTCGGGCTGCCGGCGGTGGTGAATGTCCGATTGCTCCCGGCCAGTTTGGTGTT